GCACATTTGAACAGGGCTTTGGTGCTCACAGCTTCTTTATATAATTTTGCCATAATGGCTAAGTCATTTTTTAACACTGTTTAAGCCATTAACCATTTCAGTCTCTCACACCTGACAGAATTCAGGATAATTCAGAATTCATCATTTGGATAATGCTCTCAGGAACAAGTTGTGACTCTTGGGGATGTCCTGTGCAAGACCAGGAGCTGGACTTTGATGGTCCTTGTGAGCTCCTTCCAATTCAGGATATTTCATTCTAATAATAACTCCATTTCTATTCCATTATGTAATTAAGGGATTTTCAGTCCTTGGGAGAAAACCTCAGCAAAAATGACTGTGGGGTGTATTAATGCTCTTCTCCTCTGCCAGACTTGTCAGGTTTAGCCACCATCACCTCTGGGGCAGCCATTGGTGTAAAATCCAAATTACTGCAGCATTTTGTGTCCTCTGGAAAACCAGATTTGGTGCAGAATCCCATCATCTTTTGAAACATCCTATCTCTAAAGGGTGTTGTGGGGTCCAGTGTTTCCATTGAGTGCCTGCCGCTCCTCAGATTGGATTTGAAGTGTTGGATTTTACTGTAAATCACCAAACAACTGAAGAGCTGCAGTGAGAGAGGGTCTCTGATTGAGGCTCTCAGGTGCTGCTTGCACTGGTACAAAACAAATGTACAGAATAGCGTGGAGTTGGATTTAAAAGCACCTTGTGAAGTCTGCTTTTTTTTTTTTCTCCTTCTAAAATTAGAGGGAATTTTCATTGTAAAAAATGGAGGAGTATCTTTTCATCTCCTCAGTCTTTGCTCTCCTTACAAGGTTAGCTTGACTTGGTGTTCACAGTGCTGAAATTCTTGCAGTTGCATCTTACAATTTTTAAGTGCATAGCAAAGTGGGGTTTCTATCTTCATCAAGTACATTTGAGTTGGTGAAATATGAAACAAACAGTATTTACAAATCTGCATATATATGCCATTTTATTCCTTATACTTGGATAATTCACATTTTCATACTGCAGTCACAAAAGATTAAAAAAATGGCATAGATGGAAGATATTCTGTTCACAGCAAGCTCTTCAATCAAACAGCCAGAGAGATATTAAAAATATATATATATATATTCCAATATATATTGGCCTGGAAGTTGAAAGTCACCACATTCATATTAGAAATAAAACATGCATCTCAAAAGAGGAAAGCATATATTTATTGTGTGATTTATCTGGGATTCTGAAAGATTCTTCTTCACTGGAAAACTTCTTCTGAGTTAGATGAATGTTGTGTGCAGTAGAGATACTGTATTTGAAAAAAAATCTTGGGAACTCTTATGGATTGTGCTACAAAACAGATTAAAAATTATGAAAATGGTCCATTTTCCTGCTGAAATCAATCAGTGCATAAAATCCATTAGTTTTGAATATTACTGACTGCCATTGGTGGCTGTCAGCTCTGTTTGGAAGCTGTCTCCAGCCTCAGATCTGTGATTCCTATGTTTGTGTAACCATAAATCCAGGTGTCTGCAAGACAGAATCAGCCTTTCTATCTTCCAGCTCAGAGAAATGGAATCTCAGACTCTGTTGTCTTGGAAACAAGGTTTTAAATATCAAGGTCCTGTTAGTTGTGCACAAAAATTAGAGTCATTCTGGTGTATTAGAAGGCCTTGCTAAGAGTAGTCCTTTAAGTCAAATTCAATATAATATTTTTTTTTGTACCTTTGTGTCTAAACAAAAGGGAGACTTTATTTTATATAGGCTGCATCTCCCGGGGATCAGCTGAGACAAAGCAAAGGTGCAGTGGTGAAAAGCATGGAAATGCTCAAAATGGCAGAAAACAGATAAAACTTAACCTTACTTTTTAATCTTAATGCAAAATGCAGCTGCTTAGGGAAGAAAATGGGAGTGTAAAATTCACCACACTTGAAAACATGAAAAGAGTGAATCTGAAAGATCACTTTGAGTTAGATCTCACTTGTACAGAGGGGAATAGGAAGATGTCTTGTGCTTGTAGTATATTGCTAACAGTTGCATTACTTGCCCTTTTGGTTTGCACTACATTTTCTCCAAGTTCAACATTTATACCCATTAAATTTCAGTCTTTTAAAGGCCACAGATTTCAAGATCATGAATGTCAGTAACAGCAATACATTTTTTTTTCTGGATATTTCTTCAAGAATAAGTCCTTGCATCGAATTTTCAGAATATTTTTTTTCTTTTTAAGAGGCATCCTCATGTCCTTACTGGTTACCGTGTTGAGATGTAATATTTTGAATATTACATCTTTACTTCAAGTTTGACAATGAAAGGCCTTGGAAAGGGCTGCACATTATGTTTTATAATCTGATTTATAAAAGTGGAGACAGAAGAAACTAACAGGAGTGTATTTGGGGTGTGAAAGGGTCCTGGCTTTACAATGACCAGTGAAACTCGTTGAGTGCACTTGGAGGATGGGGAAGAGCCATCTGGTTTATTGAAGCTCTGCACCCTGTTCTTGTTCTGAACAGCAAAGCCTGGGCAGATGAAAAGCTGAGCCTTGTGACAGAGAACACTCTTTGCTCAGGGAGTTGTAGGATTCTCTTTGTACCTTGCTCGTTTATGACAGATTTTAAGGTCTCATCCTGCCCTCAGGCAGCTGAGCAGAGAAAACAAAGAGATTAAAGGTGATTGGAAAACAGGACCATTGGATGGGTACCAATTCTTCTATTTTACCTGTGACAGTAGAGAAGGTAAATTCATTTTTCATCTGAACTTCCTCTCCTGCCTGTCCTGTCAGACACACTCTCTGTGCATGCCTCTCTTCAGAGGTGCAGGTTTGTCCGGTTTTCGGCTGTTTG